GATGAGGATGTTTTTTTTCTACGTAGAAGTAGTTTTGGTTAAGGCTGATTTTGGGCTACCTCTGGAGGCGGTTCCTCAGCCTCAGAGGCCTGCACTCTTGCCTCTCGTTGTGGAAGATGAGCCGAAAATGGTGGTTGATGATGACAAAGTGGGTAAAACAAAGGTTGTTAATATGTTTGGGGATATGGAGAGCAGATTTTGAAGTTCCCATTGGAGTGATCTTTGATGAGATTAAAGCTCGTAAAACAACAAAAAAGCCTCAGGAAACTGTGAAAATAATAGAATATGAGGTGGCTGCAGGTTCTAAACTTGACAAAACACCGGCTAAGATGGAGAGGCCGAAGAAGATCAAGGGGATACTCAAAACATCTAGATCCTCAGCACGTCTGGCATCAAGGGGAATTGTTTGTGGTGAATCATCATCCGCAGGAGTTTCTATGGTAGAGCTGTCAGTAGTGGAACTTAGCAGCGAGTATTATCTTTGTCATATTCTTCGGCTTCGGATGCAGGTGCAATGGAAGAAGCCCTAATGCTTGAAGAAGTCTACTTTGGTCTATGCGTAGAGGGTCCAGGTCCCTCCTCTAACCCCAATTTTAAATGATCATTATCTCTTGGAATGTAAGGGCTTTGGGTGACCCCAAATGAAAGAGGGACGTTTTGCTTTTGGTTGCTAAATTTAAACTATTAGTTTGGTGTTGTAGGAGACCAAACTCCCGGGCCCAAATGTTCTTGGGATCAAGGAAGTTTGGGGCTCTGGGGTGGTTGATTTTTTGGCATAGATGTTATAGGTGCCTTTGGTGGCATGTGGATTTTGTGGGATCCGCATAGTTTACAATGTTTTACTTCTGTTTTTTAGGGGCGGTTTTAATAGACCAATTTGGCTTGATCTTGGGGACGGTTGAATGCTTTTGGCCCGAATTTACCAACTTTAAAAGAAAGTTTTGTCAATGATATGTTTGAATGATTTTCATTTTTTCATTTGTTTGAGGGGTGATTTCAATCTAATTTCGTGGCTGGACGAGTCTTCTTCTTGAAGTCCTCTCAATTTGGCTATGTGGTTGTTTAATAGTTTCATTGAAAGGCACTTTTTGGTGGACGTACCCATTTCTGGTATTGTCTTTACATGGCCCAATAATAGTACATCTAATCTATCTCTTGGAATGTAAGGGCTTTGGGTGACCCCAAATGAAAGAGGGACGTTTTGCTTTTGGTTGCTAAATTTAAACTATTAGTTTTGGTGTTGCGGGAGACCAAACTCCCGGGCCCAAATGTTCTTGGGATCAAGGAAGTTTGGGGCTCTGGGGTGGTTGATTTTTTGGCATAGATGTTATAGGTGCCTTTGGTGGTATGTGGATTTTGTGGGATCCGCATAGTTTATAATGTTTTACTTCTGTTTTTTAGGGGCGGTTTTAATAGACCAATTTGGCTTGATCTTGGGGACGGTTGAATGCTTTTGGCCCGAATTTATCAACTTTAAAAGAAAGTTTTGTCATATGTTTGCAGTGTTGAATGATTTTCATTTTTTCATTTGTTTGAGGGGTGATTTCAATCTAATTTGGTGGCTGGATGAGTCTTCTTCTTGAAGTCCTCTCAATTTGGCTATGTGGTTATTTAATAGTTTCATTGAAAGGCACTTTTTGGTGGACTTACCCATTTCTGGTATTGTCTTTACATGGCCCAATAATAGTACATCTAATCTATCAATGTCCAAACTTAATAGATTTATGGTATTTGGAGATTGGTTGGATGCCTTCTCATTTGCTTCGGTTCGTACTCTCCCTAAACTGTCTTCGTATCACACTCCAATTATGCTCGCTTCTGGAGTCATTTGTGGGGGTCCGAATCATTTTCATACGGAGATTTGATGGTTGTAGCAACAAGAGGTAGTTGATATAATTCGTGGTGCTTGAGAAAACACAATCTCCTTTCGTTATCTAGACTTTCAGTTGCACAAAAAATTGCTTAATATTAGACAAACTTATTAATTGGAAGAAAAATAATAGGTATTAAGTGAAAGCTATGATTGATGAGGCCTTTTTAGATATTGAGTTGTTGGACTTAAGTATTTAACATAATGGGGGTTTGATTGAGGAATTGGTAGTAGAGTGTAATATTAAGCTTAAATCCCTCAATGAATTGCCTTGGTGAAATTTATTGAAAGCAAAGATCTATATCTAAATGGCTTAAAGAAGGATATTGCAATACTAGATATTTGCGTGCTATTGCTAGTGCGTGTAGAAGGCAAAATGATATATCGGGTATTGTTATCCTATGAGTGGATTCTGAAGATGGCTATGCTATGGAAAATGCGGTTGTTTCTCGCTTTAAGAAGGCTTTTACTTCCAAAGTGAGATTCGCCCCAAGATTTGATCGTATTCCTTGCAATAGGTTGACAAGCGATCTTCAAAACCAATTGGAAGTTGAGGTGTCTTTGGAAAAATTTAAGAAAGCTGTTTTTGCACCACAGGGGGACAAGGCACCTGGCCCATATGGATTTCCTTTGATTTTCTTTCAAAAATTATGGGATTTGATTAAAGGGGAACTTTTGGAAATGGTGAAAGGCTTCTGGTGCGTGGTGAGTTCTTTAAAGGGGTGAATTCTACATATATAGCAATGATTCTGAAGAAATATGTAATTGCAGAATTAAGCGATATTAGGCCTATCAGTTTGCTCACTAGCCTTTACAAAATTGTGGCCAAACTGTTGGCTCAACGAGCTAAGGTAGTGCTCCCCTTTGTTATCTCAAACACCCAATCAGTTTTTATTCAAGACCGATTGATCACGGAAAGTGCTCTAGTAGCACATGAATGCATCCATTCTAGGTTATTGAGACAGACTCCAAGGATAGTAATCAAATTGGATATGGAAAAGACTTACGACAGAGTGGAATGGGGTGTGCTAATGGAAATTATGAGGAGAATAGGCTTTGGAATAAGTGGCATAAGTGGATTTTGGGATGTCGTTCTTTAGCGCACTATTTTGTACTCTATGAGGGTGTAAGCCCTATTGGGGTTTTTCAGAGCTTCAAGAGGTTTACGTCAAGGGGACCCTCGGTCACCTTTTATGTTTACTTTATATGCTGAATGCTTCAATCTTATAATTAAAAATGTGGAAGATAGAGGCAATTTCTCAGGAGTCAAGATTGTAAGCAAGGACCTTGTGTCTCTCAGCTCTAGTATGCGAATGACACTCATTTTTTGTGGGGCTGAGTTATCTCAAGTGAATAACATTGCAATATTTCTAAATTGTTGTGAAGAAGCCCTTGGTCTGAAGGTTAACTTAATAAAACATCTCTGCTGGTATCAATTGCGATGAGCTCGTTAACGGGGAGTTGGTAGAGGGAATGGGCTATAGGATAAAATCATTCCAATTACTTTCTTGGGTCTACCTATTTCTGATAGGAGTTATTTGTCTAGGTGTGGGATAGGGTACTTCAAATTGTCCAATTGAAGCTGGATTTGTGGAAATATAAGTACCTATCTTCGGGAGGGAGCGTTACTCTTCTTCAATCATGCTTGTCAAATTTCCCTATTTATCAAATGTCAATCATCCAAATGCCTTCCTTAGTTGCCAAAAAATTTGAAAAAAGATGCGGGATTTTATGTGGGGATCAAATAGGGGAGGCAAGAAAGTTCCATCTTTTGAGATGGGATAAGGTATGTAGTCCTAAAAATAAAGGGGGATTAGGAATCAAAAAAATTAAATTTGCAAGTCAATCCCATGTGTTTAAATGGCGGTGGAGGAGTTTTCTTTTTAAAAACCATTTGTGATACAAAATTGTTGTTGCAAAACATGGACTAGATAGGCTTGGCATGGTATGTGGATCGGCAATGGTAGAGGGAATAATGTTTCCCTTAGCTGGAGGTCTATTGCTTTGTATAAACCATTGATTGAGAGAAATTTAAAATGAAATATTGGTAAGGGGGAACTTGTTTCCTTTTGGCATCACATATGACTTGGGGATTATCCTGTAAAGCTTTTGTTTTCAAAGATCTTCGAGAAGATAGTTAGCCCCAATGCAAAGGTGGCAGACGTACTTGAAGAGCCAGGTAATAATGCTATTTGGAATGTAAATTTCTCTTACAATAGAAGAAGTGATGCGTTAATCTCACAACTTAGCTCTTTGTTGGAAATTCTGAACAATATTTATATTCCTCAATTTTCGAAAAATGATCTTGTTTGGGAGATAGAAAGTGATTGAGTGTTCTCTGGAAAGTCTAGCTACAGACTGCCTTTCCATGATCGATTGAATTTGGAACTTCCTCAGATTTGGAAGTGGCCGATACCTCACAAAATTCAATCCTTCATTTGATTAGCTACTCTAGATAAGGCTCTTACTATTTATAATTTGATTAAAAGACGAAAAATTCTACCTAATATTGGAGATACTGACTTATTTGCAAGGGAGATACTGAATCAAGGGTTCATTTATTTTTGCATTGTACTTTTGCCTCAAGAAACCGGTCTTGGTTTTTCATGCTTATGGGGGTTAGTCTGTCATTGCCTCAAAATTTCTAGGAGTCATTACTCACCTTTCTTTTCCGAACTTACCAAAGATTGGTAATGTTATCTGGAAGATAGCTAGAGGTAGTCTTATAGGAGATTTCGAAGAAACGAAATAGGAGAACTTTTAAAGGGGAATGCCTTCCCTTTGAGAGGATTCTCAACGCAATTAAACACTCATTATGGTGTTAGTTGGCTGCATCGAAGGAGGGGTGCGATATCTCAGAGGTAGATATCATGGTTAAACTTCAAAATCTAATGGCGCTGGGTGTGGTTAAGAGTTGACCAAGAAATATTTGGATTGTACAACCTTAGGGGACTTTAAAACTAATTTTTGATGGTAGCTAACTTGTTAATCATGGTTTGGTAGGTAAGGGGGGAACAATTTTTACTTATATAGGAGGACCAATCAATGAAGCTACTATAAATCAGGCTGAAATGCTAGCATTTCTATATGGTTCGAAAATTTTCAGAAGTAAAAATTTGGGCAATTGCTGTACGATAGAAGGAGATTCATTGAATGCGCAGACTCAAGAGTCAACCAAGTGACTTGACTCAAGCCGGATTAGAGTCCAGGTTTTTGAACGCTAAGCTCAATTGTATTGTTGGCTATTGAACCAACAATTGATTTTACATCTTCTCTAAGGATTTGACAATGAATTTTTGAATATCCTCCCGTTACGGAGAAGAAAAGTTACCTACTTCCGAGCCAATTTATCTCCCCCCCAAAAAAAAGCTACAAGATGTCACAATTTTGTTCTCAATGCTTCAATGACTGCAGAGAAGTCCTCATCACTAAGACCACGAGATTTTGCTACTTTGTACAATTCATTTGCAGCAGCTGCAATTGGTGTTGGCTGTGCGACTGATTCCGCCATGCCCAGAGCAAGCCTCATGTCCTACAAACATTGTCAGTTCTTAAGAGTAGAACAAAGGCCTGCACAGCATTGTTTTTTCCCTCCTTTTTATAATTAGAAGAAAGGTCAAAGTTCACTGGTTTGGAATGTAAACCTTTTGCTGATGCTTTAATGGAAAAGCTGTGGGATACAATGCTTGGACCATAGAAGGTCCCTTAGTTGAGAACATGGGTGCACTAATAGCCCCTTGTGATACTACCTGTTAAAAGAATGAATACCATGGGAAACTAATTAACACCAAAAAAAGAATAAATAGTCAAAAAATGATTCAAAAATTCCTATGAGATACCAATATGCAAAAAACGAAATGGTCTAACCTCAATGAGGACATTAGGATCCAACCCCAATTTTTCACTAAGAATCAATCCTTCAGAAAATGTAGCCATCATGCTGCAATTGAGAGGCAAATGTATGCTCAACAGCAGTTGTTTCACTGCTCCAAATTTTTGACACTTGAAATTCAAATTAAGAGTTCAAACCTTCCCATGATCATGTTGACCACTAGTTTCATAGCAGCGCCATTTCCCACATCTCCAAGGTAAAATCTTGACTGTAGAATTAAGTATCCTAAAGGCATCATAATGGAGCATACAGAAACCCACATGGCTTGCGTTATAATAAGAGAGTTTGAGAGGCTCACCTTCCCCATGATATCCAAGAAACTTACAACCTTGTCGTAGAGAGATCTATCACCTGCAAGAGAACAGTTGTAAGTTTTCATTCTCAGTGGTCTCCCTCTAAAGTTGTTTATCAGGCACATGAATATTGCGGCAGAAATAATTTAAGTAGGGGAAAAGAAATAAAAGAAGAAAAAACATGAAAAGAACCCACCCCAAAGCATCCAGTTTTAAATAAAGATGACATTTCTGGCCCATGTTCTAATTCTCGTGAGTCTATACCAGCTCCTGCATGGGAGCTATCATGTTTTCCTTGAGCCTCCATCAGCAATTTTTTGTTAAAATATCTTCAGGTACTCAGGCAGACAAAATTGAGACTAATGATTTTTTCTTTTATGTTGATGTAAATGAATACTGTGCACTCAAAATTACATAGAACAATGCTATGTAGGTGGAAAGCACTTTCCATTTGTCATGCTTGGTGCTATTTTGATGAAGTTTTACACGTTATTGATTATAGGTCATGTGGTATCCTAGTCAACAGACCTTGCTGTAATTATAGCTACAACACTTTTCTAGCTTAATGCAATAACTCACTGTCATTTCTTGGAACAAGGTTTGACATGGTATTGTGGAATTCACAATACATGGATTCCTCTATTGGGTGATGTTTCATTGACTACACATTGATATAAACTTGCTTTTCTTCTTTGTTTTGAGTAGACACATTTAAGTTGTGCAAACCTGTACTGATTCAGCGAACTAATGCACAACTAATTTGCTGTTTGCCAACTCTTATTCTCCATGGCATGAGGCATCCGATGCCCCACCCATGTCTGACACTAACACAAGAACCCGTGACCGCATAAATAACCCTCGATATTCCCTCCATTATGAAGTGTGAGAGAAAATAATATAACTTCTCCATGTACGCCTCTCTCTCTGTACTTGAACTAAGATCTGATAGTTAACCAGAATGAGGTTCGAAAGAAACTACATTTCAATGTTTGTAACGTTTATTCCCTCTTTTGCTACAACTTGCAATTGCTTCATGATAGAAGTATATGAACTATTATAAACATGAATAAATCTAAAGTAGACTACGACTTGTGCCTAGCCAAAAAAGGCCCTACGTAAATATTTGGATGGAAAATCCACTGTCACAAATGGTAAATCAACAATTTATAAATTTTCTACGTGCGCTCAAATTGGCCTTCTCATTCCAAGACAGCATTGTTAGTCCAATCTTTGTCACAGAAAAGTTTGACTTCAAGCTTCAGTTCCCAAAAGTGCTTAGGAAGCTTCTGTGGCAGTATGACGAGATTTTTTTTCGCCCCCTTTTGGGGGAGGGGGGGGGGGTTGGGGCATGTTTTCCCACTGGAAACTGCATAGAATAGCTTTATAACTTCTTAAGGGCTAGTTCAGATTGCTGCTGCATTGTGGTTCAACAACAATCTAGCAGTGCACTGTGCACCTAAAAATAAACAAGGGGGACACTGTTTACAAAGCCTTCATGCAGTCAATGCAGCCTTCAAACATGCTGCCTTTTGTAAATTGGCTTAAAGTTAGAAAAAAAACCTAATCTCCAGTTGTAATATGCAGCGAGCAGGCTGAAATGGACCCGGAGCACATATCCCCCTCTTTTTTTTTTTTGGTAAGCAAAGGAGCCCAAATTACAATGTGAGATGACAGATTTACAATTTGAAATTGCAGACAAACATGATTTTCAACTTTAATTTATTCTAGCCCAATTTGGAAGAGCAATCTCACATTATTCTATTAGGCAATGGTGAGAATTACAAAGGGAATGTCAATTTAAGCTTGTTTGTTTATGAAATGTCTCACATAGATGCATTGGGTGTTCATTTGTCTATCATTTTATTGGATTGTTGGTGCAGACCTAGTAGGTTGGAGCTAGGGTTTAGCAAATAAGAAGATAGAGACGATCCAAAATTCAAGAAAGATGCAAAAACTAGAGATAAAAGGAGCACTAGCTGCTCAAGGGTTTTGAATAAAGTTCATAACAAGATGCTTCATTATGCTTGAGTATTGTTGGAGTTTGTAGCCTTTAAAGGTCTAAAGAGCTTGTACAATGATATTTATAGTGGATTATGTACTACAGTGGGAGTTTGTGTGTGAACTCTGACCAAGGGTTGGGTGATTATGGCCTTGGTTATGTCAAAAACTCTTACCCCTGGCATGTGGCACTACTGAGAAGGGTTCATAGTGAGCCATTCCTTGCTGAGATCAGACAAATGCCCAAGGAAGATTTTTGTAGGCCAAGAGAACTGTGTGGTCTCCTGCATGTGGTTGTAGACCTGCGAGAGCAAGGGGACCAATGCCTCAAAAAATTTCCGCACGGCATGTACACATGACATCCGCATTACCAGAAAACAGTCTTATAGAGGGACACGTGTACATGTGTATATAGAGGGCTCCCTTAGTACCAGTCCACTTTTAGAAATTTTATTATTTGGTATAAGAAATGTTTCAAGGGACTTTAGAAAATTTTCAGAATTTTCTAAAATTTATTTATGTTTTAAAATCCTTATAAATGGCATTTTGAAATTTCCAGAATAAGGAAGGGCGTGTGGGGCCCTTGGATCCAGCCGCACATGTGTGCCACCCTCACATGGGTGGGACATGAGCATATGGGGCCCACATGAGGCCCATAGGGATGGCAGGCCCCACTCCTTTATTTGTTTAAATTTGTTTTAATTAAAAGCATTTCAAGTTAGACAGTCTTTTAAATTAAAAAGGTTTTGTCGCCCATTCTTGTGGGAGCTTGTTTTGACCAAATAAAGTTTTGACTTCCAACAAGTCTTGGAAAGGTATTAGGAAGTTATAGAGTCGTTATAATTCTAATTAATTTTGACATTGGGCTTGAGTCAAGTAATAAATGGATAATGTTCCTAATTTCCACCCAAAAGTATGATGGCTAATTTGTGGGATAGATGGCTCAGATTTAATCTCTCTTACCCTATAGATTTCGTAAGTTCCCATTGGCCAAGCTGACTAATTAAGATAGGGCATACCTAGAGAAGGAATTCTAATCCAAATAGGATTCTTTCTATTTCAACACCTTTGGGCCCCTCCCTCTACACACTTTTCTCTCTCCACCATGCACCAAATCTCTCTCTCTCTCTCATCATTAAAATCTGTTTCACTCTCTCCTCCCTTCCAAAACGGGTCAAGCCACCCAAAATTTGATAAGACAAGGGTGACACGTTGAAACCCTAATAGGGTTTTGCTGTTTGGAAAAGAAAAATGGGTATGCCCAGCCATAGGAAGATTCTATGCCTCCAAGTCTAGTCTTGAATTGTTCCTAAGGGTTCTTACAAATCCTAGTATGGTTTCCATGCTCTCTAAACCTAAGATGAAGAGGTATTGCCTATGAAAGCTTCCTATCTCTGACATTCCAGCTAGACCGAATGGATAAAAGTACGCCATCAGACATGGATTTGGGTGTGGGGTGTATCAAGTCCTATGGGAGTAACTATAGGCATGATCAAGTAAGTCTGCCCAGCTGTTTTTATTTATTTTTCATTCATATTACATACTTTCTGTGATTTATCAGCAACGCATATTTTTTTAGGAATTTTTTTCAGGAACATATATTGTACTTAAATTCATCGTGGAAGAATCGATATTATTCTTGGGTTGCGTTTATTTGCTTTGACAGTAAAAACAAAGATCCTAGGTTGTATTTAGGGTTTTTATTTTTGATTTACAACACTATATTGTGGCCCATGTAAGTAGAATTCAGGTATTTTAATAGAAGTTAAAGGAAATTTATTCGAATTTAATACATTGAGTTCCATATAGCCACACCTTTCAAGTATATCCCTTAAATAAGAAAACCCTAAACAAGACTTCATCCTGGCCACCCATTTAATCTGATCATGGCCATTCATTATAAAAAATTGTAAGTAAATAGAAAGGCATAAAAGACTCTAGAAATTACTACTTATACCCCTAAGTGAATAAAATGATTAAAAAATAATTAAAAGACACAAAAGGACAGATTCAATACTATTTTTCTCTACTGCAGTTCCTCTTGTAAACTTTAAGCTTCTCTCTCTTATCTAGATACTTGAGAGCAATATGCTGGGCTACATTAATCCCCCTTCCTCAAAAGCATTCTCTCTTGAATTTGGCGGCTCCTTTACAGAGGTATCACCACGATATGGAATGAGATGCTTGACATTAAAAACATAAATATAGCTAAGAAGCTTCAATTTGTAGGCATGGTCATTAATCTTTTGCACCACTTCACAAAGTCCAATTTAGTCTGGCTCAACTTATGATATTCCCCTGCTGGAAATCTATCCTTAGTCAAGGCTTCCCAAAGAAAATCTCCAATAACAAATATCATATGCGGCAATGCTTGTCAGCGGCTGCCTTATATTTGGCATTTGACTCTTTTTAGCGGCTGTCGAACCTTGTCATGAATAAATTTGATGTGTTCGAGCAAGTCGAGAGCACTTCTTGGGTTCTGTCGATAAACAATCTCATAAGGCCCATGGACCGATTCTAGGACCTATTAAAAGCAAACTCAGCATGAGATAAGGTTTAATCCCACTGCTTAAGATTTTCGCCCCCTAGACTACGAATTCAAATTACCCAAGCTCTAATTCACTGCTTCACTCTAACCATCTGTTAGTGGATTATATGCAGTGCTGAAATTCAGTGAACTGCCAAGCTTCTTCCACAAGCTCCGCCAAAAATAACTAGTAAGATTCCAATCACATTCAGAAGTAATAGATTTAGGTACACCATGCGATCTAACAATGTCCTTAAGGAATAAATGTGCAATATGCAAGGCATCAGTGGCCTTTCTACAAGCTAGAAAATGAGCCATCTTAGAAAATCGATCACCCACAACAAAGACTGAGTTCATACCTCGCTATTCATGTGGCAAATCAAGGATAAAATCCATGCTCACATCTATCTAGGGCAGCTCAGAAATGGTAATGGCATGTATAGGCCGTCATTAGTGGCAATCCCCTTGGAGAATTGAAAAATATGGCATTTATCCACATATCTACTCAAGTCCTGCTTTACCTTTGGCAATGA